CCACTCACTACCATTAAATTGTTACAAATCTTGAACACAAATCTCTCCGGACCAAAACTGCATTATTACTATGATTCGAAGTTTCGAACAAAGTCTTGTCCAAGTATTTGATAACACTGATGCCAGGATAACATTGCCACTTGCCACCAAGCTTAAAGATCTTAAAAACTTGTTACAGAGTCGGAACATAAGCCGAGAAAACACGTTCACGTACGAAAAATATTTCTTACAATGGGTCACGATCAATTTGAAGCACGAACTAGTAAACCGCAAACGAAGGTCAAACCAATGAAATTAAATCAGGTCTGCCGCAAATCGTTAAAAAAAAGCAAAGAGCTTGCTATTATTCCTAATATATTTGATACTACCATGGAATATGCTTAAATTGCTTTCTTCTTTTGCATATAAACCCAATTTCCAATAGTAGTATTATAGTTTCACTTTGCAAGTAGGAACCAAAATGGCGGCTCCGCGCTCGCCCCAGACCGTTTGTCCCAACTCTTATTCTATAGAGGGCTCTGACTTAAACAAGTAAAAACTTCATCAAAGTAATTCATAACATCTTAAGGATGGAAAATGATAAGCAAAAGGCTTATTTAATGATTTCCTATCGTTTTTGTTATATAAATTTAACCTATCATTTTGCTTTAGTCTTCATGAATTTCTCGTATTTCAAAAAACTTTCTGCCTCAGATGTAGATATATTCAAACATGTCATCTTGCACGAATAAGGTCAAGGCTTTCGCATCAGCTACAACAAAACTAGCCTTTTTTAATACTGCAATACAAATACTTTCATGTAATTAATTTTCTAAGGAAAATAAAATAATTTCGTTAAAAAAGTTTTATTGTGTTGTAGAATTAAAGTTCGTATTCGCTTTACCACTGTATACATAAAGGCAAACACGACGCACATGAAATCCACGACAAATGCACCTGTCACCAATTTGGTTAAGCTAGGCTTCTATCTTCATACATGAACTCTACATAGACATAGATATAATTTATATTTCGACCCAAAATTCCTGTTTTTGCGTCGCATTGATGAGACATCCATATAGAAAAAAGCTTAATTTTACTTTAAACATAAAATTGCTTTTGTAAATCTCTTATGTATTTTTACTAGTTGATTTCTCTGTGCGTTTTGTTTTCCAGATACAAATATTAGAAAAGTGATAGCCACTAAAAGCAATATAGTTTTATAAGAGATACCCATTTAACGGTTATGTGAATAATCGGGAAGTGCAAGCGAGGACACCCAACTTTGAAAAAACTGAAATTATTTCAATAAAACGTTACCATGAACCGTTACCATTTTTATTGTACTTGACTTAGTTTTAATTTGTAATATATTTTGCTCCACTCAACTTAAATCCTGTAAAGATTGTTTGGTGGGAAATAAAGAAGCGCATTCTTTTGCACTAACACGCTAATAACTTGTTCAAAATATGAACACAAATAAATCCAACCACTATCTCACAGTTTTACTAATTAAATACATATGTCCATGCTTGATTGTTCTCTAAAAAGCCGTTGTTCATGGTACAGAATAGCAAATTAACAATGGTCAATCTGGTCTAAATAGGATGGTTGTATTTTGTGATACTAATAGTAGCATAAATTACACGAACAATTGAACTTAGCAATGGTTGTATGGATGTCGCGAGCGTCGGATAAAATTAAAGCTACTCATTAACAATATGCAAGTACTTAACATCTTAGCAAACATTGTTATGTTGCTTTAGATTTAATAAAGTATGTTTGAAACATAATCGAACAAGCTTGCTCTGTACATGCTATAAAAAGGAAACAGACAACACTTTTTCACATGTGTAACCACTGACCAGTATACTACTTACCTGGACGGAAAATCCACATCCAAAATACTATATTTTATCAACGCGCTGCCGGGTATCGAAAACATGGATGCGTCATACCAAATATAGCAAATACGGGGAGAAAATGACGTGGCCTCGTTCAATAAGAAGTTTTACACTCCCAGGAACATTTTTAAATTTCATATTTTTATTGCGCCGTCGTAACAGCAAGTCTTATACTTCAAACTTTCTTTCTAAAATGCCAAAATATTGTGCGGTACCTGGGTGCCAAAATAGTAAAGAAAATGAAAACTTTTCAGTGTACCTGTAAGAAAGAAAGAATATAATTTTTATGAATGTAAGTATTGCTATTACAATTCAATGCCGTCGCTTTTTTGCAGTTGCTTTTTCGCTTTTTTGCAATCACTTTTTTTGCTTCATTTTCTTTAATATTTTTCTCATTTTAATTTATCTTTTCTCATTACAGTTGATGCTTATATTCGATGGTTTGTATTTGGTGTTTTGTGAATGATTTTCATATCCTCTCTTCTTTATTTCAAAGCTTTTTTTGTCAGGCTAAATTGAAGCAGAAGCTCATTTTGTTTGATAACAAATTAACATGAAGATCAAAACAACACAATTTGTGTTGAGGTTCATTACATTAGTAAAATTTGTAGTCCTATATCAAAAAAAAATACAAAACGGAAACTGAATGAATCGTGTCATAAATCCTTTATTTTCAATTTTTATGGTTTGTCAACTTTTTATATAACAAAAGACTCATAAACATATCACCATTACCTTCACGTCAGGTATAGTAAAAAACTGCATAATAATATAATGGGAAAATATCCAGCTAATTATTATGTAGGTGCAACAATTCTCAGCAAAAATAAAGAAAGTTGAGCCTAGATTCTAGATGGCTCAACAAAAAGAAAGTGACGACACGTTTCTCATATAACGAGCAATCAGGATTCAGCAAACCAAGTCAAAAATCATCAAAACTCAAGAGTCATTGCACTTTTCGTCGTATGAATACGCGTCCATCAAGTCTGCAATTTTGCACTGATTTGATAAACAGAACAAATACTTCACAGCCACGTTTCGAAATAAAAAGAACTCGACCACAAAACCAAAAAAATTGTCTCAAAATTTACATACAATACTTAGTTGTCTAGTATTCAATTTATGTTCAGCCACAGGGGAGTGAATGATAAAAATATTTTTTTTAAGTGGAAGTTTTTCACCCAAAATTTCCTTATTTCCTTGTGGTATCCATGTTTTTGATACGCGTGTCCAGACACCTTTTCCCTTCAGGTAATTTATTAGAGCTCAATGCGTGTGACTAATGAAAGGCCAAGCCCTTTTATTTAGTTCAGTGACAAAACCAAAGTGAATTTTTTTCAGAACTTCATCCTGTATCATTAATATCTACTACAACATCTTCATTTTCTTTTGAAGTGGTTACCAGTGCAGTTTCTTTTACTAACGTTGTTACTTGTGGCACTGGCTAAAGCTACCTCAACTTTTTCAAAATACAATGAAAATTTTTAATTAAAGTTTTATTCGCGTCTTGAAAAATTAATTGCATTCATTGATTATTTTCAGCATCTTTATGACGACATCTCACCTCGCTCAAGGAGAGATCCGTGCACGACGGGCCAACCCGCCTCTTATATGAATCACTGAAAATTTGAAGTTATATGCTAATACTTAAAGAGGCAAGATCTTGCTATAGCCCTGTAAATCTGGCAAACTCCGCTTGTAAGAACTTTATTGCCTTCTACAGATTATAACATGCATGTATGAATATGAGCTCTCCTCCCTAATTTTCGGTGTTTCTACGTCAATGGTTCTCACTGCTAAATACACCTAAACTATTACTCCCAACTATAACTTCTTGACTTCTGCTCACATTGCGTGATCTTCATTGAAAATTTTAAAAGCTAATAATTCTTAAAATTGTTCTCCTTTGATGGGAGCGTGGAAGATAATCGTTGTGATATAATTATAATTCAAGAATCATCTTAGCAGAACTATTCATAGTCAAATTTACCGTGTTGATAAAGCCTTACAAAGCTACTATTTGTGCTAAATGTAAAAGGAAAATCCAAGGATTATGGCACAGTAATTATTGAAACAAATATTTATAAGAAAAATACAATTGAACAAGGAGTAATTTTTCTCAACAAAGGATTCTTTAAACTTTTCTTCGAATTATGAAATTCTTTGTGAATTTCAGGTATTATCTTTTCAAATGACACCTCCAACAAAAGGGTTTAGTCTATTTTTACTATTTCTATCATATATTTAATTCATCAGAAATCTATTGTTTTTGAATCTTTTGTTCAGCAAAATATTTCCATACCATGAGTTCACTACTTCTTTTCTCTCTATCTTTATCTAAACATTGATGCATGGAAATACTAAATAAATCAGATATTTTTGAGCAACTTACCATGTCTGCGTAAAATGCTAAGTTTTAAAATATATGCTGCAAATTATCTTCAATAGCTACTGCGTAACTTGCTCTATAACATTCAAATAATAGACAAGCAATGTGTAATTAAGTCCAAAAATTTTAGAATAATTGTCATAATATACACACACAAACAAACATGAAGATCTAAATTGTATAAAAGCACAAAAGAAGCAGTTGAGTATTTATCTGGCTAATAAACAACAAACGCAAAGTTGTTTGACTTATGTTGAAAAAAGCAACTTGACCTTGTCTATCCATACAGCTCATAAATTTTGCTGTAAGAGTTCTTTAGCCCACTTAATATGTGATCTACACTCATTCGTGTAGTTCAAAAAAGGCTTCAGAATCAAGAAGATATCCCTAACGTGGCCATGTACGTTTTTTTATCAGATTTCCTTAAATTCCGTTTGGCGAACAAGATGTTCCCAAGCTTCATACACCTTTCATAAACATTCTTCGTCAGAATTTGTCAATTAATTTAAATTATTATTGAAACGATAGTTGTCCGTGATTTACAGTAGTTTCCATATCAATCGAAACTGTAAAATAAAAAATCTACTTTGTGGTAAAAAGAAAACTTGCTGCTCGGAAGAAGACATAAATGGCAAATTTGAATAAATTAGCATGCATTAATTGTCAGTAATTTGACGAAAGCTGTATTTTCATAAGGTCAATATTCCATCTCTCCCCACGAAATTTAATATGTTGCGACAGGCTTCACTAAATATATTGTTAAGTTGAGGGGGCTTTTGTTCTAGCTAAAGTTTTCGAAGGCTGTTGAAAATTTCTTAGTGAATTTTCTTGGTATTGTTGCAATACACGAAAGTCATGGACAACAAAATGTTATTGATAATAATTTCTGTGGCGGCTGCTTCCTCATCGCTATTGCACAGGTACGTAAAATTAACAATGAAAATAACCATTTCATGAAGCTCGGGCGAATTTTTCCAGAAATTACACATAAATCTCCGACTGTCTTTGATGAATGTATGAAAGATGCGGAGTACTCATGTTAATATGAATTTATCTATATCAACGTCTGATGATTCGCAACAAAACAGTGACACTTAATTGTGTGACGTGATTATAAAAGCCTTGCTACACTGTAGCGTAGAGCACTAAACTTTGGCTGCATGTAGTAAATATTGAACATACGCTGGTGCATACGGAATATAAGCTAGGGCTACGTTATGCATAGGTGTTATTCCTCTGTATCGCAAGCTGCTTTCATTTTCCAGGAAAACACAAAAAGTATCATTTGTAACATGCAGGTAAGGTAAGACTTGTCTTCAATGAATTGATTTTCAGCTTCCCGTCGTCTTCTAATATGTGAGGCGGTCAGGCAGTTATCTAAATAGTAAATACGGTCATTTTATGCCAAATATCTTATTGCTACGCACGTTTATGAGAATATAAATATAGCTAGAAACTTAATGAAATAATCTTCGTACGCGACTTATTCCTTTACATTATACGCGTGACGGGTCTTAAGATCAGACCTTCTGTATTGGAGTATTGATTTTATAATTATCTGGTTCAAAGAAACCTAATCAAAATGTAGCGTAAGTAGTCCTTTATGTAGCGCTGTTGCTAAAATTGCGAAATAAAATGAAACTCTACAACTTCACCACCCTCAAAAGGTATTGTAGCTACTTCAACTGCAAGCTTTTTTGTCATCATTTGCCAATATATCAAAAACTATTAAGAATTTCATCAGTGTATTTTACTCATAATTTTTAAAATGTAATTGTACGCACATATTTATAGCATTTCAAAATTGGAAATTTTAGTAGCTTTATATAGTCAAGTTTTGAAAATTTATCGATAACTGCTGGACATGTTAAAACTGTTGCTTATTATTATTTTCATGACTTGACAATGACAATGTTAACATTGGCTTAAAGATGTAAAAAAAGGTCAAAAAGATCATATTTTGTCGCGTCCTCTAATTTCATATAGTCACGTTTTAGATCAAATTTGAATCGATATATCTCCAGTTTTAATGATATATACATCATTTCAATGTGTTCATGAAGATATAAATCTGACAGATCTAGATATAATACATTCTAAATTTCCATGTTCTACTAGACAATGGTAATAGGTATGTTTGTTATTATATCGGTTTTAAAAGCAATTTTCAAGTTCAAAACTCCTTAAATTTTTATAAGATTTATAACCATCATCATTATGGAGATGTCATTTTAATGTAAAAATATATGACTGCAGTAATATTCTTGACTACGCCCTATAATAACCGAGCTTGAGGTCATTATGGAGAAATATTGAACCGAGCCCGTAGAGCGAAGTTTGTACAAAAAGACAGAGGTCCAATGTTTCTCAGTAAAGACCGAGAAAGCGAGGTTATTAAAAAGTTTATTATTTTGCGTTATTTCATCTTAAACGAAGCTTGCTTTCTTTCAGGTCAAATAACGCAAAATGATAAGCCTTTGTTTTCAAATGACTGTAAAATTATGCATTTTTGACCGTGGTCCATTACGGGAAATAATGGTCCAGCAAAAATGTTTCTGAGCCAATCAAAGAGCGCCATTTTGCCTAAAGTGAAGCTTTTCATATAATAATAACGCTTAATACATCTCTTACGACCTCTTTGTTTGTTAATGAGGATGATTTCCATTCATATTTTTTTCATTTGATTATGCATCAAAATCGATTCAATAATTTAATCAATCATGCCTAATTTAATATTAAATTGTACAATCTTCACTTCCAAACAATTTTTAGAGAATAACTATTATTTGTTTAGAAAAGATTTTTTTAAACTTTAAAAGCGCGGAGCTTTTTCTCAATTCCTTTTTATGCTCCTCATTTGTCAAACGATGCAATTTGATGGTTAAATGAAAGCCCACTTGTACTTAAATTCTTAACATTTTTTCAATAGAGTTCCATTGATAAAATATCGATCAAGATGCTCACGGATAAATGATGTAAATTGTTCTACGCACAAATGGAATTCAACGATTTCCAAAGCAATGATTAACACGCCATCTGTGGATCTTGAAAACAATTTGAACTCTGCATACTATGGGCCAATCAGCATTGGAACACCACCACAGAAATTTAATGTTCTTTTTGATACAGGATCGTCAAATCTTTGGGTCCCTTCAACCAACTGTTTTCAACGTTCTTGTGGTAAGCTGCTTAAAAAAAAATTTTTTAAGGTTGAGTCTTTTGAGTGGTTATACGTGAGCAGATTACACAAAGTCACATGATGGTTCATCTTTTAGTCTCTCACAAAAAGTACAGCAGCTCAAAATCAAGTACATATGAGAAAAACGGCACATTAATTGAAATTGATTACAGTAAAGGAGATGTGTGCGGATATTTAAGCATAGACAACGTTCGAGTAAGTGTTTTTTTACATTTAGTAAACAATTACTTTACAAATTTTAGTTTTATTTATTTGGTTTTATTCAATACATTTATATATCTTCACTTTTTATGTTATTTGTCTTCTTTCTTAGCGATTCTGGCCTAAGCATCCTTATACCATGCATAGTCATGTGATTTCTCCACTATATATGAACATTAAACCATCCAAGTCTGGCCTTTGTTATTTTTTTTAAAAAATACAACATGCCAGCTTTACCTCTGATGTAACTATTCCTTATTTTTTCTAACTCTATCATTCCTAAAGAAAACCTCACACTCGTTATTTCTGGAGTTCGTGGCTTGCCTTTTGTTTTATCCTTATTTCAACTATCTCTGAATCACATGACATCCGTATTTGCATTAGCCATTTTGTACAACATTCATTTTATCCTTGTTCCAGTGAACTCCTTTATCACATAGCACTACTCTTGCACACTTATCTTCACCATACACTCTTTCCATTCACATGCCTTATTCATGTCTGCATATATTGTCCATTCTTGTGATCTATTACAATTCTAACTAATGAAAACCTTCTGCATTATTTATCTTTACTAAGGCACAACTGCAAAGCATTTTTGCAGGGAAGCAATCGACCACAAAAACTATATGCTTTCAAAGACAAATCTTAATGAATTCAAATTATGGGGAAATTACTAGGTAGGCTATTATCATCTTTGCGCCACCATATTTTCCATTCTGCTTCTTCCTGTAACGTCATTGTTCCATTTAAATACCTCTTATTCACACATAAATATTCTGTCTCACTACAGCTAATTCTTCTTCCCCTCTTTCTAAATCATGACCACCTCTCTTTCCAAGGTATAGTGTGTACCTGCACATGTGTGTTATCATCACAAAATACAATATAATCATTGTCTAACGTGACTTCTGCTTAACTTTGCCTTTTTTCCTATCTATTTTCATAGCAAAATAAGCGTCTTACAACCAATCCTTTGTAAAATCCTTCAATAAACTAGAGCTTCTCTGTTGTACGTAAAAAATATACCTCTTTGCTGCTTTAAGTGTTTTGTGCATGACCTGTACTGACATCGCTTAAAACATATCTCCGCCATATTTTCTCTTTCATTACATTGTTAATTGCTCTTTCAAATGGACAAAGATAAAATGCAAGTTTCTCTTATTTCTGTATTTTTCAATCAGCAATCTTATATCAAATACCTCATCTGTAGCACTTATTCTTAACAAAGATATCACACTGTTTGATAAAAATTTTCACTACTTTTTCCCATGACTTTATCGCACGACTCAAAAATTTCATCCCTCTGTATTTGATATAACTGTGGTCTCCCTTGTTGTTAAATTATTGCATTGACATGCATCTCTCTATTCTTCAGGCATCTTTTCATTCTCCAGAAAGTATACACAACTGATTTACGTAAGCCTTCACCATGGACACTTACAATAGTATATCATAAGAGCAACTGCCCTACTAATAATTTTTTGATTGCACAACTTTTCTCACCTTTATCAAAGACTTAAAGTCCTTACTCTCAATATTAAAATCTTACCTGATCTGTAGAAACCCAATTTCTATTAGGCCCTTCCAGGCTATTATCTATAATTGTAATGTCAACCTAGGCATTAATAAATTTGTTGCATATTGAAAAGACAAAGTTTATACGCCTAATGCCCTTCTTACAGCAAACTTGTGAATATATTCGTGCTTGAAACAAACGCATGGTCATGGTGCAATGTGCTAATTTATAATTGTAAAACGCATGTGAAAATCTGTTTCTCTTGACATAGTTTTCTTTATCTATTTATTTTGTAATTTAGATTGCTGGTTTGAGTATAAAGAAACAAACTTTCGCTGAAACCACATGCCACTATGATTTCTTAGTTCATGATCCTTTTGACGGCATCCTCGGAATGGGTTATGACTCATTGTCCGAGAGTGATGTAACTTCCGTATTTACAAATATAATAAATCAAAATCTTGTGAAATCTGCAGTGTTTTCCTTTTATCTGAACAGGTATGTTCTACTTTATAATTTTATAATGTGCTATATATTCCTTTAAGCTAATTTAAATCGTCCAACACATGCATGTATATTATATCTGTGTTCTTTCTTTCTAAAACGCTCTAAATGTTCCACTTTACGAATAAAGGTTGAATATAATCTCAGCAATTACGCTTCGTATTGATTTTGAGGTTATAAAGGAAGTGCAATTTACGCTACAATTTTTGTGTCAGCTAATCTTGTTGGTTTTTTTTGTAGGAAGATTGGGGAATTCCCTGGGGGAGAGCTCATTCTAGGTGGAACTGATCCTTCCCATTACACAGGCCCCATAACATTTGTCCCTGTGACAAAAAAAGCTTATTGGCAGTTTGAAATGGACTCTGTTAAAGTTGCTGATGATAACGATGATGCATACTGTGTTGGTGGCTGTCAAGCTTTTGCAGATACTGGTACGTCCTTGATTATCGGTCCCAAGCAAGATATCAAGGCACTGAATGAAAAGATTGGTGCAGTTTATGAGAGCAAGTTAAAGCTGGTATGTATGTAATGAAATACTTCAACTTGGGATGCAACAATGTTTAGGCTTTCTATGATGACATTTGGGGTAGCTGAAAAGAAGTTTAATGTTGAATATATCTTAATGCAATTGAACTTGACTAATTGATGGCATTGTATTTATTATCCTGTGGATAACGTGATAAAGTGTCTTGAGCATAATTTAAGATCTAAGTCTCGTCCAACAAGAAATGCATGATAAAAATTGACAAATATGCAAAATTTACAAACACACAAATTTCAATGCATCGTAGCATCAGTATTAGCTTCTTGCTTTTATTCTATTTAATATTTACTATAAGAGCCTTGTAATAACTTTTGTCCTTTTTGACAGATTTGATGTGATTGTTGGAAGAAAATTAACTTTGCAGCATAACGTTGTTTAAAGAATTGTAATCAACAAGTATAGTCCGTAGCTTACCAGTCTACTAAGACCCAACTCAAATGCTGCGTTTTGTATAAGCCAATTGCATTAAAAAATAAATAATTAGAACTTTATCTCATTTACCCTTCTTTTAATTCATGCATTTAGCGCATGTAGCTAAATGCGGGGCTTGGAACAGGCCTGCATGATTCACCACAGGTGCAAAATGCTTTAGTTTCCGCAAAAGCAATAGATTTGTAAAAATGAACAATAATAAAATGAAATCCATAAAGCAAGATTGACAGACGTCATTCATCGTTTTATAGACGACCAGCAAAATATAAAAAAATGCTTTTGTTAGTTTTTCATTTCTTTTTTAGTATCTTATTAATTGCTCAAAATTGCCAACTATGAAATCTGTTTCACTTACAATTGGTGGCCGGGAATTTGTGCTTACCAGTGAACAGTACACTTTAAAAGTAAGTAAATGAAAAATTTATGTTAAAGTGTATGGGCAATGAAAATAGTGATCTTCCAAAAATCCTTTTGCTTGAAAAATTGTCATTTCATAAGTATTTAAAACTTTTTTTGATTATTGAGAGTGTTTTGGAGTACTTACCAGGAGGATTTAAACTATCTGTAGACTGTAAAATTCTCCATCTTGTTACGGATAACAAGATGATAACTTATGTTGACTATTCCGTCATGACGTCATTTGCATGCTCAAAATTTTTTGCATGTTTTGGTTTGTCAAATTCCGACTTTAAAGCAGTCACTTCACTCATTTTTGCGGGTTTTTTTCTCCTCAATCCTCAATACCAAAAAAAAGAAAAAACAACAATACCGAACGTATCAAAACATGTTTACCCGCAAGTGATGTCACTTCCTTTCGCATTAATTTTGAATCTTAGAAACAAGATGGCGAATTTCTCAGTCTACGGGATAGTTAAAATCGTCCTGCTAAGTACTCCAAAACGCTCACAATAATCAAAACAACTTTTTGTAATGCATATGAAGTGACAATTTGTCAATCAAGATGATTTTGTGAGATCGCTATTTTCATCGCCCTTATCCTTTAAATGCTTTAAGCTTGACCTTCAAATTTTATTACATTATCGTTAAAATAGATTGTATTGATTGATTATTTTTAAGCATAAATGCATAATTCGTTGTTGCGCATATATTGAAGGCTGTAAGAAAAAATACGTTCTATTTTAAATATATGACACAACAAATAGTAAATGCTAATTTATTCCAATTTCAAATTTTTAACGCCGGACGCACAACAATTTAACATCATATAAGAGTACAAGCAATAAAATGGCCATTGATAGATATATTGTCTTTCCAGCCTTGCTTGTTACGTCTTATTTATGCAACTTGATGTTGATTTAACTCGGTTTCGCATAATTTCCTTGATTTGTTCACCATTTTGCCAAAAGTGAAAAAGGAAGACTTATAATGAAACCTTTTTTTGTCAATCATCAATACGTTACTGCAAAGTACAGCGTGTACAATATTTGCTACACTTTCACCAACTTTATATTTTGTTCGATTTGCGTAAACCACAACAATTCTATAGGGGATGTAACTTGTATGACAGAATTATTAACGAATTGCAGTAAATGCATTGAAATATACATATTCGTTTTATAACTAGCTACTATGACTTTCTCTTACGAACTTTGTATACGTTTCCTTTTGAAATGTATAAACTGTTTCATAGAAATATATGCACAAGTACATAGAAATATTGTGAAAGTTGTCGCTGATCTTGCTTGCATAGAATTCTTGCATTTTCATTTAACAGATTTTATGCCTTTTTTAAGATGTTACTAATATATTTTTTGCTTTAGTCTACAGACGAAATTTGCATTAGTGGATTTAAAGAGCATAAAAATAAAAAAAACAAATCGTGGATATTGGGAGACGTCTTCCTGGGACCATATTACAGCGTTTATGATAGAGAAAATGATCGAGTTGGATTTGCAAAGGCTAAAGAATTACATTGACTTTTCTAAATCCTTCTTAACAAACCTTGAACGTTCCGATATTTCTCTGTAAAGGCCAAACATGTAAGGCAGATAAAAGGTTTATCGTTTGGCATTAATTAATCTGAAGCAAAGCTTTCTTTTTTTCTCGTTCTTGCCGTTTTCTACGGGTCGGCTTTCACTTTTCGAGTCTTCGTATGTAGATAAAAGATAAATCGTTTCAAATTGTATCGTCTAGATAGTTAAACTGTTCTTCAAGTGTATTTTCTTTGACTCGCATTCGTAAATGTTTTTTGGTTTCGTTTTTTTGATGTTTTGCTGTTTGCTCTACAAAGTTTGTTTTACATTTGACAGTAAAATTACGCGTTTTGGATTGTGATCCATTACGGAAAATAATAGACCGGGAGAAATGTTTCGGAGCCAGTCAAAGCGCCTCATTTTGTCGGAAGTGACGCTGGCCATATAGGCTAATAATATTGATCAAACCAAGGTAATTTTTCAAATAAATTAAATAAAATTTTCTATACAATGCTAAAATTCTTTTGTATTTACTGTTACATTTCACCTAGCAAAAATTCAAAGCAATCTTTATTTGAAATAAAGAGATAACAACTAAAAGGAATGTATTGTACACATGATTATTACAAAGTTAAAATTTGTCTCCCGTCACCAATACCATTACAAGATGACATGAAACGAATGCGTATAGCTTGAAAAGAAACGAAAAAATGTAGATATTGAAAGTCACCCCTACCGATGTCAGCTTGTTTTAGGTAGTCTCTATGAGCGTGCTGTAAAGATAAATAAAGTCTTAGAAAACCACTTTGGATCGTGTTTTTGCTCCAGCTATAAAAGTTGCGTTTTTTTTGCATCATATGAAGCATGTTTGACTCAAAATGTTTACAGAACGTCGATACTTTAATTGGTTATGTTTATGTTAAACATTTGTAGTTTGCTGTATCGCAATGTTGTTTTCAGGCAGTGATAACAAACTACCGTGAGTAGAGATGATTAATTATGCACGTACATGTTCTTCGGTGTATAAGACCAACGTTAATTACTGCCAGGAGACGTTATACAATGTATGTTATTAGCATCATTGGTTAATTAATACAGTCTGTAAATTGAATAAACAAGAATTGTTCTTATCAAATGAAAACTGAGTAAATAACTTATCAATGAGTTTGTGATGTCTTGGCCCACAACCTTTTGCCTGTTGTGTATCCATTTAACTTTAAATGACAATTTCAAAAAAGATCGTTTATTACAGTGCAGGAGTCATTGTATGTGCTGTGATAAAATCAAAACATTGGTTGATGGCAAAATAAATGCTTATCAAGTATTTTGTAAGAAAAATAATTCACATCCTTTTGAATATTGTGATGACAAAAAAACAAAAGTTGAATCATATAAAACGGCGTATGCATCATTATGCATAAACAAAACTGTCCGTACGTAAATATGCGAATCTTTCTCCTAATTTAATTGTCAAATTAGCTGGAATATAGAATTTTTCAAACTAGCTTGTGCTTCATAAGTAGTATATTGTAATATAGTTAAGCTCTGTCAATTCAATGCGACAATTACAAATCTTGGAGCAACTGGTCGCAATAATCCAACAACATTTGGTCATAATTATGATGGCAAACGTAACAAAAGGTATCCAGTAGTGCACTGTGCCTTACACTGAAAAGTATGAAATCACTGCTGTTGGTGCAGAAGGAGGTTACGAGAAACTTAGCTCTCTTTACAGTGGTAAAGTTTTTAAATTTTGCTATTAGTGTAAATTCCTTCTAGTTAAATAGATTTCTTATTTATTAGTGTCCATGATTATAAAAATTGAATATTTGTTGATATTAATTTTATGAGGCATAACAATTTACTATGTAAAAACTTGAAATTAGCATTCTAATCATCAAATAAAATTAAAAACCCTTTATTGTGCGTCAAATTCGTAAAAGGTTGCTAAAATGCAAAAATTTTCTCAAATTTGTTCACAAATATTTAAGATTGGTGTCAAAATATTTTGCCATTGTATTCAATCTATAAAATAACCTTTAAAAAACACGAACGGCAACTGTCCAAACGCTCAAAAAAACCCTGTTTCACCATAATGCACAGGGAACTTCAGTCTTGAAAAAGTCTCGTGGGTTGCGTTTTTTGCGTTGATGATTGAATATTGAAAATACAAACAAAATACATTTTAAAATTGATAAATTTATATTTTTCATGTTGTTTTCAAAAGGGTTTTTTGTTAAAAAAAAAGTACAGACAAAGACATTGCATTTTCATTCCAATATTTTTTAAGTACCTGTTTTCACATCCAGAAGCTTGTACTGTAATGCGAGGCTAAACAGTTCCAAATATCGAAACAGTTTTCATGCAAATACATCATCTTGATTTTCTTCAACATAAAAATGAAGCTCTATCATTTTAAGGTCATGGAGCTTACATGAAAGGAGAATTTAATTTGAGGAGAGGAGAAGTTATCGAAATTCTGGTTGAGCAAACAGCACTTGTTAATGCCCGTGCTTATGAATCAGGAGGTGGTGCTGGTTCTTTTGTAGCTAGGAACAATAATGTACCACTACTTCTTCCTAGAGGTGGTCGTGGTATAGAATACCTAAAAAACGTATAGATAACTGTGATGTGAGCACTAAAACATCTGGAAAAATTAAGAATTGTGTCACACCTTGCAAAAAATTGCCTAGAAGAGTAAAAAGACATGGTGCAAAGCATACAGACCAGTAGTAATCAGGTCGTACCAGATTTTTGTTTAATTCTTTTGTGCTCGTTTTTAAATATTTAAAAATCAGTAGGAGAAATGGCTTGTCGTTAAGGGATAATGAATTTAATATGAGTGGACTCTAAACATAACACCAAGATATATTATTATAATTTCTAATTTGCTCTCATAAATGGAGGAACAGGAGGACGTGTCTGGTATTAGAATGATGTTGGTGGATTTGGAGTTGGAGTTGGAGCATATGTTGCCGGTTGGGCATCTGGAACATTTAGAAGGGATTCTTTGTTAGTAGAGGTGGTTCTTATTTATGGAAAAGTCAAGTGAACAAGTTATAATTAAATGACAAAGGAAACGGATATGTCATTGCCACTCGAACATGGTAGATGAAAATCATCTTAATATTATCTATTTTTGGCAAAAACACTTTAGTAGATTTTTTAATATTTAGAACTGTTTTAGACAGCATTTTTAATAATAATGGCTTGCATATTTGCTAAAAAAGTCACAAATTGTTGTTATCACTGCAAATGAGAACGGTATTTACACCTACCTATGAATTAATATCACATTTTTACGGTGGCGCACAAGGGACACAATACTTCCTTGCAAAATATTATGTTTTTCATTGAACATTTAATATTTCCACGCGAAAATACTATGTTTTCCATGCAACATTAGTATTTCCATGCAAAACACTATGTTCTCCATTGAACATTTAATATTTCCACGCAAAATACTATGTTTTCCATGGAACATTTGTTGTTTTGCTTTACAAAATTGCTTGTTCTCGGTGCAACGTTCAAACGTGCGTGCGCATGAGTTGAATATAATGCAGTTACTTGAAGATTCAAGTAAATCTATTTGGTAAATCTTATCAACGAATCTTATAAATCATGAGTCTGAAAGTGGAGTTTTTTTGTCAAAATGTTCTGCCAAAGTTGTGGAACAAAGCTTTTGGATAAAGCCAAATTTTGCCACAACTGTGGATTTTGTGCATTATCATATGTCGGTAAGTACACAATCCTATACAATGGAAGTCGTTTATTATAATTTTTATTTATTTAAAATCTTCTTATCTATCCCTATTCTTCTTATAGGTTTTGTCATGTTTTTGGCTGTTGTATTATTTTCTGTAACAATATCATTCAAACTGTGTTTAAACACAGAAATTGGCTCAAAACCTCCAAGCAAAACCATTGAAGTAAAGCCCCTTTCATTTGAAAGTTCCGAAAGAAGAAAGAGGAAGACAGATCATCAAAATTTAAGCCAAAACCTGGAGGAAAAAAAAAGCAAAATTGTCAAAAGAGGTGAAGGTGCAGGTTGGCATTGTGAAAGACAACAATGGAGATGGTGTATTGGTAAGGGTGAAGTCAAGAACATTAACAATTCCAGTCGATGACGATGTTGATGGAAATACTCTTCTTAAAAAAGCAATTGATAAACATTCAAGACATCATAAAAAATTTAACAAGCATAACAAATATGTTCTTTTATATAATGGCATGTCAATTGTGAGGTATTTACCACAAAGCAACAAACCATTTGGCTTTCAAAATATAAAGAAGATTTGTTGCTGCCATACTCCAAAATGTGTTTCTGACTATGTACAGAAGATGATTTTGAAAATTCAATTTCTGAGGAAAGTTCTGACAATGAACTTGAAGAGATTTTGATTAAATATCATGAGTCTCAACCTTCAACATCAAAGTCATTGGCCACAACAAGTTGTGGCGACTTCAAGGAAGATGCAAATAGTAAATCCTCCAATCCTCTTCTTTGTATTCTCTAAGTTCATTTACCTCAACGTCTCAAGTTTATAGTGTGTCTCAGGGACAATTGTCTCAGCATGGAATAGAAAAATATCCATTGCAACATTAATGCCCTACATGTCTTGGATGCTATTCACGTGCAAACATAGAAGCTCATGCAGACATGTGTGCAGAAAGGTGGATAGACCCAACTGGCAAGTTATCAGATCACAATCAAAATAAACTGGAAAAACACTCATTGCTGAAAAGAAAACTGGACAACCACTGTTGCCACTATGCAAGAAGTGGTTCATCTAATTCAGAAAAATGTTAACAGAATGTCGACCAACTGAGTTACCATTCGTAGGCGATTAGTTTTTGCAGATTATGTGGATGAACGGAAACGAAAATGGTTTGCTGAAGGAGGAAAGCTTAAAGTTTGTTTCGCTGGTGAACCTTCTACTGATGGTGTTTGCCCAATGAGGGAGTTTTTCACAGGTGAGAAAATCAGTGAAGATTTTTTTCAATTCCTAATGTAGAACTGCGCAAAGAATATGTAGCAATTTGAATGTTTGTTTTATACCTTCTCTAATGCAAAGTCTGTTCCAATGTATTGATAGATGTACTACAACACATTAAGTAACTTTGCTTGATGCAAATCATTATCTACTGTTTAGTGCACGAGCACTAGCAAATGAAGACTTCATGGTTGCTGGTGAATTAATATTATCCTCTTCGGCCCAGGGAGGACCAGCATCATGCTTCTTGG